TTTGCTTGGCTAGATTCTTATTTAAGAGAATTTTGTGCAACCTGATTAGAGGACATATTCTTCCAGAGATTTGCTAATGTTTTTGTTATGGTTTGTGTTTGTGTTATGGTTTGTGCTTCATTTTTCAGAGGTAGTTGTATCTGGAATGTGTGATGCTGGGGTTAAGGGCATGTAATTAGAAAACCACTACATTGTGAACCATTAGTTTGGCACTGCCCTAATCCTGGTAGTCTGAATGAGATAAAAGGGGCAGAAAGATGCTATTAAACTCCCTGTTGCCTTTGCTACCTTGTGCATGCCATGTTGTTTCTCCTCTGCATGTCTCCTTGCCATCCCTGTCTTAGAGCCAGCCAACTATGGACTGAAACCTTCACAAACTGTAAGCCAAATAAACTCTATACTCTCACTTTGGGTGTTGGGTATTTTGTCTCAGCAACAGGAGAAAAGTAACTAACAGTTTTTCTTTGGCACCTGGAAAAGCAGCCAACCTACAATCACTGTAACTTTTCTGCTTGGGGTTTTCTGGACCAGGTATATATATTTGAATTTTGAATCTTTGAGTGAAGGTCCTGATTATAAATTCCCAGGTGATATTTTTCTCTCTTTTGTGGACTCCAACTGAGACTTGTTAATTTCCTTATCTAATCTTCACTGGCTAACAGGCACATTTTTTACTAGACTGATTTTTCATAAGGTGAAAGTTAGTCCTACTTTCATGTGAAGGGATCTAAGTTATAATTCTCCTTCTTGTTCAGGCCAAGACCTAAACCATTGCTTTTGTACTTTTAGGTGCTTGTCATTACTTGCTTATCAGTTTGCTTTCTTCCTACGTGTTGTTGCATGGGGATTTTCTTGAGTACTTACTAATTTTTTTTATATGAGAAGATGTTTTTGATATTTTATTTAGCATTTTTAAGTGTTTTGTGAGAGAATTATTTTCAGATTATCAAACCTACCTTTTGGATAGACATCCAAGCCTTATTCACCTGTTTTCTAGCTTCTAAGCATTTCCTTTAACTTCAGTTTGCTAACTTCTCTTTCAGTTCTCTGCCATCTCACCTACAGTACTGTTATTGTTTTTTTTTTAATGTACCTTTTAAAAATAATTTCATTGGAACCTCAACTGAGAGGACTGTAATAGGCATCTATATCTAGTCTTCTGTTTTGTTGTACATGTGTTTAGTAGTTATATCTAAGCCCTAACTGACCTGAGGAAAAGCAAATGTCTTTGAATATCTTTCCATTTAACTGTGATTTTGTTTGAATTTGAAGAGCATAAGTTTTTGGCTATAAAAGAGATAAAGGGACAGGAGTAGAGGAAGATGTTCATGTCCTTTGCAGTGGAGCAGTTGAGGTGAGAGCCAAGATGTAGCTGTTAACTTCCATGGAGATTTTATTTTAAAGTCTAAATATATATGACAAATGGACACTACATTAATTTGAAATCAGAATTTAATTTCACTCAGTAAATAATAACTGTAGTGTGCCTGGCATAATACTGAGAATTAGAGTACAAAATAAGTTATACTATGTCCTCACAGAACCCACTAATAAGTCAATTCTCATTATTTGTGGCAGTTATATCTGTAGAGCCAGCCTCTGCAAACACTGAATTATCAAATACTGAGCTATTTCTTTTAGGGGAAATAGGTTTTACATTCCTGTAAGCCTTTGCTTACAATATTTTCATCAACTGATCAATAAATAACCTTGTTTTATGCATTTTTACCCAAAGACACCTCACTACATATTATTAATACTCATTGGTATTGAACTCATAGTCAATCTCATATTATAACTCATTCCTGAATGAGAATTATCTAACATATTCTCCAAAAGGTACATTACAGCCTACTTAAGAACACCAGACTGAGCTTCAGTACTGTGATTAGGCCCTTTTGGACAGCAAACTCACAACTGAAAAATATAAAAAAGAATGGGTGGCACTAAAAAGTCTCTGAAAAACATACTTCTTTTGAGTATGAGGTCTGAAACAAGAATGCATAATGTTCAGCTTCATCTGTGACTGAAATGTTAGTTGACTCACATTTTTCACAGCTCTGTGCATATCCATGAATGACCACAAGAGCTCTGTGAGTATTGGTTTTTGTTTCACAAATAAATTTTAGCAAGTAGGCCAATTTACAGAAACAGAATTCAAAAATACTGAGGGTTTATACAGTAAGTGGTATTTTTCCTGAATCTGCTGGAGTGGATTAGAGAAGTCTTCACTTGGGACAGTTAGGTGAAGTTACAGCAGTATGAAGCAGATTTAGATGATAGTAAATAGTCCATTGTGGCTGGAACTAAAAGGATCTCTGTGAGGTGGGATAAGAGGGGACTGCATAGTCAACAGGAGAGGATGTAAGGGCCTTTAAGGCCATTTTAAGGAATTTGGATTTTTTTTTTTTTTTAGTTTATTGGTACCTTTTAGGTATACAGTACAGTTAGACATTCATCATTGGGATCTCGTACCTTTACATGACAGGTCTTGGTTCTCATTTTTTCCTCTTGTCCCTGCCCTCCCTTCACCCCCTCCTCCCCTCCCCATTTACAAACACTTTATTTCCATTTTTTCATTTTCTCACATTTTTTTCCCTTATTACCTTTCCCCTACCCTTCCCACTTTCCCTACACCTTTAGCCCTTTTCTTCCTATTTCACATTCTCAATTATATCACTTGGATCTTATGTACTATTATAGTTTTTCACACCAGAGAGGAATTTGGATTTTATAGGCATTGAGGAACCAGTGAAAATCATGGTTGTGTTAGTATTTAGGAAAGTTCACTCTGATGTTGCTATTAGAAATTGTTTCAGTCCGTTTTCTATCATTGCTAACAGTACCACAGACTGGTAAGTTTTAAAGAAAAGATGTATATTTTGGCTCACAGTTCTGGAGATGTAGGATTGTGGGACCATATTTGCTGATGGCCTTAATGTTGGCAGAATCCTTGAGGTGGTACAGAGCATCATGTAGCATGAGACAGGGAACTACATATGTGTATCCTGGACTTTCTCCTTTTTTTGCAAATCCCACAATATTCAGGCCTAAAGACTCCATCTTGGAGACTTTAATCCTAATCACTTTTCAAAAGCCCCACCTCTAAATATTATGAGATTAACTTTCCACACTTTATATCTCACAGTTGAATTAAACTCCATCATGAATTTTAGAGGAGACAACTCATTCATAGCAGGGACAGATGAAGTAAGAAAAATAAATAGAAGGCTTTAGATTTTAATGTGATAGATGATTAGAGTATGAATTAAGACAGTGACAGGAGATAGAGAAAAGGGTGTTATGTGAGAGATATGTAATTGAAAAGTCTTGCTGATAGATTAAAAATTAGGTGGAAGAAGGGCCGGGGATTTAGCTCAGTGGTTCCGCTGCCTGCCTCGCAAGCTGAAGGACCCGAGTTCGATCCCCGGTACCAAAATAAAAAAAATTAGATGAAAGAAAGAAAAGAGATTGAACAGTTATACATGGTGCCATTGATTAAAAGCGGGAATACAAGAGGAAGACTATTTAGGAAATAACATTATAACTTTTGGAAATGTTGAGTTTATGGTGCCCATGACACTTTTCTGTGGAGATGTAGGCAAGGAAATACGAACTTTGAGAGACATTAGACATTGATAAATATTTGCCTGTTGTTTTTCAAGGCAGTGTCCTAGTGCCAGAGGAGACAGAGCCGTCAGTGAACCTCTGTTAAAAGGACACAGACAACAAGCACACACAGGTAATTTTAGATGAGTATGATGATGAAAATGAAGCCAGCAGAATGAAAAGAGCTGTGAGGCTATGGGTATGGTGGAGGTGATGGTTTAGCTTGTGTGTTGGGATTTGATTTCTGGGAAGTGACATTTACTCTGTAACAAATGACAAGAATAATATGTATGAGGGTTTGTGGGATGTCACATCACACAGTGAGAACAGGAAACAGTAAAGATGAGAAATGAGTGAAAGGTAATGACTGGAGTGTCTTTAAAGAAGAAAAAGGACTCTGTGGCTGGAGATGACAAGAGGTACATGGGTAGTGTACCAGTTGTGAGGCTCTGCGAGGCATGGGTAAGTGTGTGGATGTTTTTATAACTGCAGGGAAGAAGCCTTTGGACAGTTTTAGCAGGAGAGTAACATAATTTTAACAGCAGAGTAATCAGAATATGTTTTTAAATGATGGCTCTGTATTGAGAACTAGAAAGAAAGTAAGGAAGCAATCAAATGACAACTACACCAGAGATGGTGATGGCTTAGATGGCCAGTGGATAGCAGTGGACAGAAGGGAGAGGTTTTCATGTAGCTTTTCTTCAGTCACTTTCATCATGATTCAATTTAAAAAGCAATTTATAAGTGGATCTGTTGTGAATTCTAGATATTTTTATAAATGCAGATATAAAATGTTATTTTGGAAACAAACTATCAATAACATTCTAAAATTATATAATTTTGAGATGCTAAAAAAGATTGAAATTTGTTTATTTAATGAAATATGGCAGTGAGCCTGTAGTCACAGTTCATATTAGTCCTTATTATGTGGGTAAAAACACTTGCACACAGATATAATTGAATTATAGTAGTACCTATTTTCTTCTAAATAATGAAGCTTAAACTTGCTTTTGTTAATAAAGGTTAGGCCAGTAAAAGTTTCTTCAAAGCAGTACCAGTACACTGTGAGAAAACATTAGAAAACACACTTTTGAGATCTGTTGAAAAAAGTGATCTCTGTAGATTAGCTTTTTTTTTCTGTCATAGCACCATCAGAGCATGGTCTATAGTGGTGAAGGAAGAGGGACTAATAGACCATGTAAAAGGCAAGGGAAGTTCAAAATTGTACCAAAGGACAGAGCCTAGAAATTGTGGTGAGAATTATTTTGAGATTTTAATAAAACATTGAAAAGCTGGAGAAGAATGAGATGTCTAGAGTTTATGGGGAAGAAAAAGTTGGATGGTTTTAAGATTATACGCTTTGGACGGAATGAGCAGATGATGATGTCATAATACACATGAGAGGTAGAATCTGTAGCAGAGGAGTAGGCTTGGTAGGGTGGATGAATAGTTTTGAAAATGGTAAATTAAAGTCACCACCTTTGGGCCTCCCAGGGGAAAATACATTAAGAAGGCAGTTGGAGAAAGGTGAGTACTCTGAGAATGGAAATCAGATAAAAATGAGTTGAAGTCCTAGAAATAATTGGGATATTTCAAGAGAAAAATGAAAACCTGAGAGACACCAACAGCAATGGTAGTCTTTTCTTAAGAATGAGTATAGGTTGTGTGACTGATCTGTCAGGTCATTCTTAATTTTGTTTAAGAACTTTGAGCAGACTTGTACTGAGTGGAGAACTGAAAAGATGACACACGGTGTGGGTTATTCTGTAGAGAAGCATGGCTTTTGGGAAAAGATGGTAAAGGTGTAACTCAAAAGGGAATACATTTCAAGCTAGGGATTCTTCAAAATAATTACTCAAAAAGGATGGGAAGTATCAAACAAATAAAAAAATACTGAAGTTATAAGAACACCCAAGGATCATGGGCCCAACAGTAGGCAGGAGGGATATGATTCACTGCAGATAAAACTTTTTAGAAGAGGAAGAGCATGTTTCCTCCTGAGATTTGAGGAGAAGAGGCAGGGAATGTTGCTGCTGTATTTAATTCTATGAGTGCAAGAGATTGACAATCAACTAGATGATAGTTTCTTTTTTCTTTTCCTTTTTAACAAATACATTCACAATTTAATAAGTATTTAAGATAGGGAATATGAGATAACCCAAGAAGGCACAAATACATAATTTTGCAGCTATGTTGTAGAGCCCTGCTGATTTTTGTAGGATCAGAACAGTTACTGAATTTTTAAAAAGTAAGGACAAGAATAGAGGAAGAAAGACATCGAAAGAGCTGTGAAAATAACAGGTGAGAGATGATTGCCTCGTTATTTTGTGCAGGATTACCAATATTAAATATGTGCAGGCAAGCAATAACCAGGGCATTGGGCATATCTTCAGTGAGTGTAAATGTAAGCTACATCATTAATACTGTTTTATCAAATTAAAGTATAGAAAGTTATTGTTATGGAGAGGGGCTTGTGAAACATTTTGCAATATTTGAAACAATATTTTTATGTAATCTTCAAATGTGTGAAAGACACAAATTATTATATATTTAACCCATGTTGTTCCCAATAGTTTCTTTGGTTTTTTTTGGGGGGGTGGTTTTTTTTTTGTTTTTTTTTTTTTGGTTACCAGGGATTGAACTCAGGATCTGCACTTGCAAGCCAAGTGGCAGAACCACTGAGCTAAATCCCTGGTCCTGTTCTCAACAGCTTAACTGCTAGATATGAGGGCTGGCAAGGATACCCAGTTGTCCATAGTGATTATTCTTACTACAAGGAAATTTGCAGTTAGGAAAAGACATTAAAACAGTATCAATGTTCAGTTGTAATAGAGTGCTGTTTCATATACTTCGAACAAATTGCACATTGCTTAAGTTTCTTATAATCAAAAAGTCTTTTAGGTAAGAAATGGGAGGTTGAAACCCAAAATATAATCTGTGTTTTCATCTAGGTAGGACGTCTTTGGACTTTCCAAATTTCTGAAACTTTGTTAAATAATTAGCAGAGGTATAGAATGCAAGATTTTCATCTGGACATATAGGATCAAAGTCTTCTAATATTGAACTCTCTCTCTCTTTTTTTTTTTTTTTTTTTTTTTTTTTTTTGGTTTTTTTTTTTTGTTTTTTTTTTGTTACCGGGGATTGAACTTGGGTCCTTGTGCTTGCAAGGCAGGCCACCAAACCGCTGAGCTAAATCCCTGGCCCCATTGAACTATATTTTAATGTTTCTTGCAAGAATTTTCTGTGGTATGCCTGTTTCCCACTGTCTTGTTACCTTAGGGTTCATGCCCAGAAGAGATGACTGAGTGGCCTCGGAGTGGTAGTGAAGATAATTTGTTTCCTATTTCTTCATCACCTTCAAAAATATTTTGTTTGGGGTGGGCACTAAAGATTGAACCCAGGTTCTTCACACTGAGCTACATCCCTAGCCCGGTTTCCCAGAATTGCCCAGGCTAGCCTCAGACTTGCAGTCTTCAAGCTTGCAGTCCTCCTTCCTCAGCTTCCCAGAGTACTAGGATTATACAGCACCAATTCCAACTTCTGTGCTTATTTTCAGTGCAGTGCTTTATATGTTTTGTACCAGTTGAAAAATGATTTAGATTGAAACCAGATAAGCATGTTAGTAAATAGAAGCAGCTCTATAATTTAAGATTGACTGAAAAGTTTCCTTGTGTGTAAATGTTCATATTTACAAATATGGAAAATAGTCATGAATTTTAAAAATTGAAAATATCCTTTTATGTCTAGGTTTTAAATACTAGTTTTCACAAGTCACATTTTAGTCCAGTTACTAAGACTTATTTCATGCCATGCATAATACACAAAGAATAATTTAACAAAAACAAATCATCTAACAGTAGTTTTTCATTCTCCAAGTTTCAAAGGAAAAGTCTAGTTCTTTTGTTTGTATTTTGGTGATGCTGGGAATTGAAACTAGGGCCTCTGCCATGCTAGGCAAGTCTTCTGATGCTAAGGTATATTTCTTAGTCTAAGACGTACTTATCCAGAAGTTAGTTATAATTCTATGATTTTTTCTACAATTAACTGGTTACTCCTTATATATGACAGCTGAATTTTTTTCTAGGTTTTAATTTTAATTTCTTTATGTGTTGCCAGAAATGGTTTCAATCCCCAGTAACTGTTAATGTACATATAAATGGAAAACCGACAGTATTCCCCAACTCTCTTTATTTTTATTTCTTCCTGCTTCTACTCTGAATGTTTTTTAACTTACTCTTTTTGATTGGATCAGTACTTGCTAGTTATTCCATTAGTATTCTCTATTCTTGTATTTTTATTTTCTTGGCGTTAATAATTATCTAGTTTTACTTATATGCTACTCCTTAACAGTTCAACCTCTAAATCCTTGCTAATTTTCTAACTGAACTTTAAGTGGTTTATTAAAGTTTTGCAACTTCGTTTTCTTGAAGATGTCTCTCTTAGAACCTTCTGACCAGTCCAGGTACATTTGCTATTCTCTGTCCTCAGTATACACCTGAAATATCTTCTTAGAAATTAAAGGCATCATTTCATTACCATCTGTTGTTTGGTATCCTCATTGAGCAACCAGAATCACTTGGATTCTTGTTTTGTTTTGGTACCAGGGATCAAACTTGGGTCTTTGTGCTTGCAAGGCAGGCAGCAGAACCACTGAGCTAAATCCCCAGCCCCTGGATTCTTGGTTTTTAACATGTGCCTTTTTTTCTTCAGTGTTCTGAGATTTCACAAAATATCTTTGAGTCTTTTCAACTGTTTTTCTGGGTGCTCAGTGCCTCATTAAGTCCAGCAACTTACAGTGTACATGTCTGGAAAATGTAAAGTATTTCATTAATGTTTTCTTTTCTTCCATTGTGTCTATTCTTTCCACACTCTTCTTATTTAGATGCCCTCTAATCGGGTCCCCTAATTTCCTATTTTTCTATCACTTTAGGAAAATGCTACTATTTCAGTGTTACCTCAAATTTGTCTTCCATAATCAATTTTCTTCACCTAGAATAATTTCATTATTTGAAATACATTTGCTTGTTTGCTTATTTTAATCTCAATTTTCATGTTACAGGCTTTACTTAGCCACTTAACATCTCAGGTTATTAGCTCAGTATTAAGAATAAAACAAATAAAATACTGAATTTCTGATTGCAAGTTGAGCTTCAGTCTGGTTCACTTATAGTTGGGTCATTTGCAGAAAATACCTGATCTTATGTCTGTGTGTCTCATGTTTACTCACTATATTTGCTAAAGAAGACTTTTAACATCCTTTGAATATAAATACCAGATTGGCGGCTTCTGAGAGTCAAGAGGGAGAATCAGATAGAGAGGCTTATCTTGGCATTAAATAGTTCTATTTTCCATATACTTTCATTATTCTTGGTCTAGAAACACCTCTTATTTTACTTACTTTTCATTTCTGTAGAGGAAAGTGAAAGGTGGAAGTAGGAGCTCATGAGCTCAATATGTTGTACAGTTTTTAATCACATTTTCCTTATTGTAGTTCCCTTCTCCGCTGATACCTTGTACTACTAACTGCTCACCTTTAGACAAGTTTGCTGTGCAAGTATAGTTGTTTTCTGTTTCCACACTTGGTTTAAAGTATGGTCTCTGCATCGCTAAGTCAGTAGCTCCTTTGTCCATATAATATCTAAGATAATTTTTCTTTCCTTACCCCCACTTTTGTCAATTTATGCCTTATAAAATAAAATGACAGACATATCTTTATTATACTTTGGAGGATTTTTCAGGCAAGGACAAAATTAGATGAGTTCAGTTTTTTGTTTTTTTTTTAACCAGGAAATCCAGGTATTTGTCCTCTTGAATAAAATACTTATTTTTTTTTTGTATTTGATTCTTGACACTTGATTTTGTCAAATTCAAATACAATAACCTTTGGAGCCTTTAAGGGGAGGAGTTTCTTCTGGAAAACTATTCTCAATTTTAATTTTTAATTATGCTTTGAATGAAGGGATCTGTGATGAAGAGAGAATGCTTCAGCTTTCCCTTCTGAAAGAAGATTGCTTGAAGAGCTCCTATAACCTTCAATCTGAGTTTTTCTTTAGACCTCTGGAGTGTAACGTCAGGAAATGGAGGGGCTTGGGATTTAGCTCAGTGGTGCTGCCACCTGCCTTGAAATTGCAAGGTGCTGAGTTCAATCTCCAGTACCAAAAAATATAAAGAAATAAAGAAATGAATTGGTGGCTCCTTAGTGACACTGGCATTGTTTGAACTCAAGGAAATTTCCAAAACCTTTGGTTCCTTACTTGTTTGCATCATTTGTTTGTTTTGTTTTCCTCATTGAGTTTATTGGTACATTTTAGGTATACAGTACAGTTACATTCATCATTGGGATCTTGTACCTTTACTTGACAGGTCTTGGTTTCCCCTTATCCTTGCCCTCCCTTCACCCCCTCTTCCCTTCCCTATTTAGAAATACTTTATTTCCATTTTTTCATTTTCTCATTTTTTTTCTTTGCCCTTATTACCTTTCCCTTACCCTTCCCACTTCCCCCACAGCTTTAGCCCTTTTCTTCCTA